GCAATGTCTTTGACCTTAACTACCTCCATGTAAATGCAGAACTAAGTAGAGAATATTATGGAATTATCTCATACATTATTATATATACTTTTTTGCGGTTGTTGTTAGGCACCAAGTAGCGACCCTTTTAGCAACAGATCTGAACCTGTCCTATCCTGTGACGTCCTCATCATCCCTGATACACTCTAGCCCACTGCTTAAAGTCACTATGTTAATCCATCTTGGTGAGGGTCTTCCTTTCCTTCGCTGACCATCCATTTTTCCAAGCATCCTGTCCCTTTCCAAGGAACAGCCTCACCTGTGTATTTTTATATACGTCTATGTGTGTTTATCTATCTATATGAAATGTGCCAATTTAAAATGAAAGCTAAATGATGTTTATTCATTCCACAAAGTGGTTAAGAACATTAAGCTGCACATTTCCACCTGATCAGAATATTTTTTAAGTACCATTTTTAAATGTCCCACTAATTAAGAGTATGTAATATTGAATTTCAGCAAATTCTCTTATTAAGTACTTATACCAAATGGTCTGTCTTAAGATAGGCCCTGTGGAAGGTACAAAATCAGTAGTATACAGTAGTTACTCTTAAAGCAATTCTTAATTATGAATAAAATACTGAAAAGATGTTAATTCTCATGAACTCAACAAAAATAATAGCCAGAATTCTAATTTGTAATAGAAAGAAATTAAGGTGAAGAAAGAAGGTAATTTTACTTTAAATAAATGTAAACAAACCATTAAAACCTTTAATGAAATCAAAGGCACATAATAGACCAATACAGAGGATATGGCTTCTCAATAAATGTTTAATGGATTAGTTAATTTGTAATTTAAAACACATTAGAATTACTAATGTTTACACCCTCTGAAGCTTCATATCCATAGCAGTAAGTATGCATATGTAGTTAATCTATGACTATATTAACACAAAAATGTTTAATTCAATGAACTATATACATATTTATTTTAAAAATTATTTCATTCATGAGGCAATATATACAGAGTACCAAGGGAGCCCTGGTGGTACAGTGGTTAATGTGTTCAGCCGCCAATCAAAAGGTCAGAAGTTAGGACCCACCAGCTGCTCTGTGGAAAGCAGTTGCAGCAGTCTGTGTCCTTAAGGATTTACAGCCTTGACAACTGTAGGCAGTTTGGCTTACTCTGCCCCAGAGGCATTCAGTGTGAGCTGGAATCCACTGAACAGCAACGAATTTCATTTGGGACATAGTTATAATAAGGCAAAGAATCAAATTTGGTTTCATAGATTCAATAGTAGACAATGATAAAAAACATAGCCTTGTCCTTCGAAATTAGGCAAAAGGCAATGGAGAGCATACAAAGAACCACATGAAGAGAGACAAGAGCTACACAGCAGAGCGCTGTGAGGGCACATTAAAGAAGGTTCACGTGCACGGATGTTCATGGAGATTTCCTTAGAGAGCTTTAATTTCAGATTGAAGGATAAATGGGAATGAAAAGACAAGACCAAAATGACCACAAATGGCCTCTGAGAATATAACAAACAGCAACTAGAAAAAAGCCTCAGTGGCAGCAAGGAGAATGCTGCACAAGACTACAACTACAGACAGTTTCCGCACACAATCTGGGATGGAAGACTGTCTATGCTTTGTCCTCTAGTCAAACCAGGAGGAGTTTTCAAATGGAATAGCCAGCATATACTCATTTTCTTTCTTCCTGAACTCTAATAAAAACTAAAGTAAAAGCACTAGAAATATTAAAAAAATTAATAGTAATGTAAAGGTCACAAATCCATTCAGTGACAGCAAATGTATGGAAGCTGAAAAGCAGATTAAAAATTAACTAATCCAGGCTGGGAAGATGAGCAGAACAGCCGGTTTCTGCAAGGGTATGTTTTCTGGTTTGGGGTTGAGATTAAGGTGTGGCTTTGCTCACCACAGGGTGTAAGCTGATTGGATTTGACCTCATCTTTTAAAAGGTTTGGGCTGGATTTTTGTGAATATCCTGAATAAAACAGTCTTGGAAGCAGGAGTGACACCCACTTAAGAAAAAAAAAAAAAGCTTGCTTCTGGAAACTCTGTGAACTTGGAGAAAAGATGAAAGTTTTGTGTTCAAGACTTTCATTCATAGGGTCACTATGGGTCGTCTACAACTCTAAGGCACTTAACAACAACAACCACAGGGTTGCACAATTCAATGAGGGAGGAGGTGAAGGAAATGGGAAGGATCTTTTGTGAAAAAACGATGTATTCAAACTTTGTAAATAAATTAGAATAAATTTTTTTTTAATGTAACTAATATTTTTTAAAACACACACCCCCCAAGCTTTCAACATTAAAGCTGGTAACCAACTCAATAAGGCAAAATCCTCAGACATTGGTACAGCCAGGTGTATCTGAAACAGGGGATGAATGGAGGCTAATAAAATAGGGAGGACTGTGAGGAACTGAAAGCAGTTAAACTCCAGGAACTTCTCTCCTAGCCCCCTCTCTAAGGCTAGCTCCTCTAGCTCAGTTCAGCAGAACACCACAGAGGAGGATGAAGACGATGACGCAGATGGTACCCAGTGATGCATGTGGTGGGACCACACTTCTGGGTGCTGAGACTCCTCGCTTCCTCCACAATCAGTTCCCAGAGTATCAGTAGTGAGACCTTCAGCTTCAGTTGGGGAATCAAGTAGGAGTTTTTCTCTGGGAAATCAAGTTCCTCCTCCCTGATGGAAACCTGTCTGCCTGGATCAGATGGCAAGATTAATTTCACCACAGAAACAGTGTGCTTCGGCTGAAGAGCAGGAATAAGCCATAACAATCACATATAAAATATGCACCAAATGACCTTTCTCCATCTTTCCAAGGGATGCCTAGTACCATAGAGCATCAAAGGGAAGTCTTGTAGTTTATGCTATAATTTTGGCAGATGACGAGATGGTGATGGAGCCTCATTTTCTTAGCATTATTGCATGACTTTGCCTGGCGAATTCTTCCCAAGAGGCTCTTAAAAACTCTGAGAAAAAGTGAAGCCAATTTATTACCCAGATACTGTCCAACTATCTTCTCCTAGAAGTAGGAATACAGCACTCTTAAACAATAGCACTGCCTCACTTCTCATTTTATAAAAATTTAATAAATGAACACTTAGGAATATACATCCACAGGTAACTAATATGCAAAGAGAAGCAAAGGAATGATTAACACAAAAGTCAAGGGCCTAGATACTCTGGTATGTCCCGGGAAAGGACATGTGGAAGGTTTCTAATGTCCTACCAACATCCTGTTTCTTAAATTGGAATGCAGACACTGGTATTTTTATTTTATGACTGTTTCACCTTTTCGTGGAGCCCTGGTGGCATCCTGCATAATGTGTCAAGATGTTAACCAAAAGGTCAGAAGTTTGAATCCACTAGTTATTCTGACAGTAAAGACAAAACTCAATCTGATGGCAGTAGGTTTTGGATGGACAATCACTTTATATAAATATATATATTCAAAACAAAATTCATTCTTTCAAAAGAGAACACACAATTGGGTTTGCATATTTTAAGGATCATGAATGTAGCTAGCTGTGAAGAGAAGAGAGTGGACAACTGCAGAAGTCAAGGTTGTGACAGTGGTGAAACGCTGGGTTCAGGGAGCAATGAAGCTTGATATGTTATAAAAGATTAAATTATGGTTTTCTGTATTATGCTGGTTGCAGCTTGTCTTAGGGAGGAAAAGAGGAAGAATGAAAAGGAAATTGTGTCTGCCAATAAAAAAAAATTCAAGATTAAAAAAAAACACACCACTAATAAAAAAACCAACAAACCCAGTATTTATATTCTCTAATGCAGAAGCCTTCAAAATTGTGTATTCAGTGAAACTTCAATATATAATTGTATGATGAGCACAAGAAAAGGTTTTACTAAGTTCAATTTTAATGGAAAAGTGTTAGAGAATAAGGTTCATTATCTTCCAGGACAGGATAAAAATCTGAGCAACCGTTGAAAGGAAAACAAAATCTAGGAGGCCAACACTCCAGTCAAAGTCTTAAACCTTTTTGCCTGAGGCACACAAACACCATTTTCCAGGCAAAACATCTACCAACATGGAAAATATATGCCTGCTCAGAGGTGAAAAGGAAGTGGATGCTGTCCAATAGAGCCACGCTGAGAAATGCACGCAAAACAAGTGGATGCTTTCCAATAGAGCCATGCTGAGAAATGCCCCCAGAAAGTACCGATATGACACAGCCTTCTCACCTGTGAGAGGGCTACAGCAGAGGTTCATGACTTTCTATCATCAGAATGGCTCTTTCTTGGCCATAACTAAATATTTTACATCCTATAAGGCTTAAACATTGTTTTAAAAGTGTTAAAAACCTCCATTTCAGTCAAGGGATGCTTCATAAATTCTTCATCTTTAGATAAGCACCAAACAGAATGTCTAGTATCCAGTAGAGGCTAAGCACAAATTTCTTGTACCCTTAACAAAACTGAGCCATCAATTCAATTCATCACTTTAAGAGAAAGGTCGTTTTCTATCATTTTTACCAACCTAATAGCATGGAGCTCTGATGGCCTAAGGGTAAAAAGCTTGGTTGTGGTCTCAAAGGAAAGCAGTTTGAATCCACCAGTTGCTCCATGGGAGAAGGATGGGCAATGTTCCCCCATGCAATTTACCATTCTGAAAATCTACTACCAGGTTGGCTATGAGTCTGTTCTGACTCAATGGCCCACAACAACAGTAGCAAGATTAGACTTCTGCTTTGGTTAGTTCCCTTAGGAAAGAGAAAATGAAATCTTTTAAATGATGCATTACAAAAATTATGATAAGCTGAAAAAAAACACATAATTAACTACTAGGTTATAAAATGAGCAAAGATTTAAAACACCTGTACATTGGAACTGATAAAATTTAAAACAGGAAGTTAAAATTGCTCAAGAACATAGCTTTTTAAAACAGCGGGAATGATTTGAAATACAAACTGTCAATTCATCTGTTCTTGAAAATATTAGATAAACTTCTGTGAGTCAACATCTTACCTTGAATACTTCCATTGGAAGAGGAAATTTTGCAGCATCAATAATGGATTTTTCCAGAGCACATTTCCATTCAGATGCCATCTTCAAAGGATAGATTTCTGTATCAACAGCAAACCACACACATGTTTAAGGACCAAAATGCTCTACCAGATCACTCTTTCTTGAATTTTATCTTCTCATTCTTAATATCCCAGCACACTCTGTAACCATCAGAGTTCACACCATGCTCACTTTAAAAGGCTATCTGCTAAAGGCATTTTCTGAAATTAAATAGCAACCTGGGATCCTGCTATCAGAAATGAAGAATAAATTTAATAGGGCTTTTCTTCAGGGAGCTTTTGCATGCAGTTCGTTGGTATTCTGTAAGTAATTTAATGGTATTAATCACATTAGCAAAACCTTCAGTAAACCGTTGCCCCAGATTCCACATATCACCTAGGAAGTAGTATCCGCTGATGAAGAAGAACTTATTATCCAGTAAATTTCTAAACTGGAAATGACTCTTGTCTGGCATTTCCAGTTATTACAGCATTTTCCCCCCTAAATCTCTAAGCTCTCACATGCAAAAAAATAGTCTGTGTAAGTCATAAAATTATTAAAAGGTGAATTAAAATTTACCAACCAGGTTTAATATTTACACTTGAAATGTTGCTAACACACCATTTGTTACCCATATTTTCCCTCAGGCAACGGGAAAGGAGGGATTTACATATGGACATTATATTGCCTGAATGCAAAATTAAAAGAAAACACTGTTGAGTACTGTTTTTACTTATTGCTGAAACTGCAGAGAAATTTTATGACCTGATCACAACAGATTTAAGACCTTATCAAAATAGGATTTGCAGAAGCACTCACTGGAAGTAGATATGTTTATACCTTCACTATATCAACCCAGAATACTTCAAATAGATAGTTAGGATATGAATATGAATTTAAGCACAGTTAAAAAGCAACATTAAACCTTTGGGGCTATATTTTTAATTTCTTGCATGTCTGCTTTTTAGCATAGAGCCATATATTTTGATCCTTATAGCTTCTGAACTCAGCTTGAGCATTAAGCCTCCGGTAGGAAATAAAGTGTTTAAACAGCTTTCTCAGTCTTTTCATTATTGAACATTTGTGGCACCGTGGTTAAACTTGGGCAAAAAGTTAGCAGTTCAAACTCACCAGCTGCTCTATAGGAGAAGAGATCTGGGGATCTGCTTCCATAAGTATTCCAAAAATCAAACAAAAGCCAGTACTGCTGAATCTGATACAATTCATTGACCCTACAGCACTGTAGAAGACTTACCATCCAGTAAGACTGCCCTACGTGTTTGCTACAAGGTGGAATCAACTGATCAACACCCAACAGGATGCTTCCAGAATGAGCCAAGTTGTCAATGATGACCCACTGTCAATGTCACTTACACACAGAGGCTGTATGCATAACTGAATAAATTTCCTGACCTCTGCAGGCAAGGGAAGAAATTTCTCTGGGTCCTACAAAATAGGAAATGATACTGGTTCAAAGAGTACCAAGAATACAAATTGCTCTTTGATCTATAAATCATTCTGTAAAGAGAAGGAGGAGACTCTGGAATGTACGGAAAATCCGAGTTAAGGCAAAGGTGTGGACTCTTGGAAGCAAAGCCAGTAGACACTAACTTCAGCACTTGGAGAGAAGAAAATGCCAAACCAAAGGGTGAACATCTTAACTCTCATGAAGAAAAAAATAAATCCCCTTTCCAGAAATCTGAAAGGAGGTAGACAATGAGATGTGACAGAGAATAGATTTTTGGAAAAAAATGATGAGTATTTCCAAAACCAAAACAAGAGCCTTGAAACATAAATGGTGAGGAAAAGGAGGGAAAGATGACCTCTCTAGTACCCTTAATGCACTCACTCTGTAATCTTAATTACACCTTTGAACGTAATAGGGGAGAGGGAGATATGTCCTTTAAGAGAAAGAAATAGGAAAAAGAAATTACTCAAGGTCTAATTAGTTGCCAAGTCAATTCCAACTCCTAGCAACTGCATTTCCTAGGCTTGCAAAGCTGTGAGTGTTTGGAAGTAGCTTGCAAGTTCTTCTAGATGCCTCTGTGTGGGTTAAAACCTTTAACTTGTCCGTTAGCAGTTAAGCATTCACCCACAGCACCATCCCAGGACTCTTAGTCAAGCTCAATAGCAATCAAAACCCAACACGGGCCAGCTTAGGCTCGAGCTACCCAAACCCAGTGAGGTGATGTGCACACCCCAACAGGGATTCTCCTGGCCCTTCCTGACCCTGTGTTCATAAACACTGGGTGAACAGGACTGGACCAGCCAAGTCATCCCCAGAGGTTACATATTAGAGAGAGCGAAAACTGAAGCTCAGGTTCCTGGTGATTTCTGCACCTTTCATACAACCTTAAAAGTCGCTGTCTTCTTGCTTAGGATATTTCGTTCTAAAATGGAACTTAACCTCAAGGCAAAGCACACTTCTTTTCTCAAAAGGTGAAAATTAACTGCAGTTTTGTCAGTATGCTCAACCACCTGCAAAAGCTAAACACCTAATGGTTTCAATAAGCTGAGAACACTATTCCATGTGTGCATTTCATTAGATAGAGGCACTCTGGTTACACTGGTGAGTTTATGGACAATAAATAGCACCATTAAAAGAACATAAAGCATTTTCTTAAAATGACTGTGTTGCAGGTAACTTAATAGAGTGCATCGTGTCAATTTCTGTTTGTGGGAAAGTAATAAGCAATTAAAATATGTCCCGATTCATCTTTCACTAGAAGCCAACACACAAACGAGGCGTTCCCCCTTTGTAGTACTTGGCAGACTGCTTCACAGCAAGGGCAGCAGGAAACAGAAGTACATAAAATTAAAACTTTCAGGCCATGGGCTATGCAAAGGCCTCGAAGGTTAAGCCTTTCTTTTACACTCGCTGCCCTGCCATCACTACTCCCTCTTTTTTTACCAGGTGTCTCCCTAGCTAGGAAATAATATCCTATCTTTCATTTAAGATCTAATTAGCATTGAAGCACAACAACTCTTTTTGAACCAAGGAGAAAAGCTTTTGAGTTCAATTCACAAACACTTTATCTCAAGGCATTATCTGGCAGTTTCTATCTCTCTACTCACTTCATCCTTGAATCTGGACTCCATTGACACCTGGAGGAGATTTGTGTCCCTGGACACTTTTGTGTGTGATCTGAGATGGTTTTGCTTCATGCTTTCCTATGTCCCCACCCCAAGCGAGAAAATGCACCTTGGCAGAATTTGAAGCACTGTGATCCTATTTGCCTAAAAACAGTGACTATATATTTCTCATAGGTGGACAATATAAACTCGAGTATCTCTTCATAAACTTTGAAACACTACTATTGCAGTAAAAGTCAGGACCTGTATATAAAGATGAAAGCTATCTGAGAATAAAAGCTCATTTTCTACTAACATACATGATAGGAAAGGGGTAAGACACTACCTTGGCAAGCCTGGAAAACTCACAAGACCCTATCACTTCAGTCCAGCTCTGGTGCTCACAGGCTATACTGTGCCTCTATTTGCAGTGGTTGTTGTCCGTAGGTGTTGGGAAGTCAATTCAGGCTCCTAGTGATGCCACGTAACAGAAGAAAACTGCCCTACAGGCATTTCTAGGCTGCACTCTACAGAAGTAGATCATCAAGCACTTCTCTCCTCGAGCCACTGCCAACCTTTCCATTAGCAGCTGAGCTAACCACTTAACCACGGTGCCACCAAGGCTCCTTAAGACTTGAGACATACTATGATTTCTAAAATGTAATGCTGTAAAACTGAAGTCAGAATTCTTGTTTTTGACAATAGCAGTGACACTGGGGGTATACAACAGAGGAACACTGAAAGCAGGGAAGACACAAGCTGGGACTCACCCTCACATCACGGTCTTGGTATCGGCTATCTCCCCTTTACCAACCCTTCCAACTCTACTACCCACTGCCAGTGAAGGCTGGATATGTCTTATTTATTTAATGGTGCTTATCTTGTCCACAAGACTGACATGTTACCTATATTTTAGTGAAGGCACTGGGGTTAAGCGGATGGCTGCTGAGTGAAAAGTTGGTGGTTCAAACTTGCTAGTTACTCTACAGGAGGGAAAACTAGGCAGTTTCTTGGCAGATTATAGCCTTGAAACTCTGTAGGAGCAGTGCCACTCTGCCTTCAGGTTTGCTAAGAGTCGAAACTGACTATAAAGCCATGGGTTTAGTTTGGCTTGGTTCAGTTTTATCTAAGCTTCACAGTGGGTCTTGAAATTTATTTGTATAATCCAAAGTATCAGGGGCTGTTCTCATGTGTAAAAACATGGGCAATAGCTGCCTCTCAGGGTGTCCTGTTCTCCTTAATTAGGCAGTGGTGGCTGTTGCTGTGTACCATCGAGTCAGAATCGACACATAGCTGACCCTCCGGCAGGTTTTCAGAGGCAGAGGAGGGAGGCATGCCCATCCTTCTCCCGCAAAGCAACTAGTGGCCTTGAACCGTGTGCCTTAGGGATTGCAGCACAGATTCTTACCAGTATGCCACCAGAGCTCCCCAGAATAATTTTAATCCTGTAATTACTGTACTTTGAAACCTGAAAGTAACATTTCTCTGTGTAGTTTCATTTTTCCAAAATATAGGGTTTCTTGTAAGCTATTTAAATGTTGGGAATGGAACTTTCCGCTGATGACGACCTTTTCCAAAGTCTATAAGGATTCCCATGAACCCTTCAGTGAAAATGGAGACTTTGTGTCCAGAATGTAGCTAAAATAAGTAAGTAAAATTTAGGCTTATGTAATAAAGACGTCAAATCATTTGAAAGAGATAGCAACCCTATAAATAATTTTTCTATGTTTCTACACTGATCCTTTCCAAACTCCTGCTTGAGTATGAGATCCAAAATTTTAAAGCAAAGCAACATTACAGAGTACCTAAGAACCTATAGTAAGAACCTATAGTACCTAAGAACCTTTAGCTTAGCTATATGCTTTTATATTGGCAATTACATGTTTCTTTTAAAATGTATAAAGGAATTAGATATTAAGCTAACCTTCCCCACAAAGTGAGTTTTTCCTGCCAGATTATGAATCCCACAGCAAAGCACAGTTTAGAGAGTTTTGCACAACACTGACAAGCCTTTTGTTTGTCCCCAGAGCCCTAAATCACTCAGAGTATAAATGGATTCCTTGACTGCTTTTCAGACATTGACAATAATAATAAAATACTGTGTTACATGTCTATACTCTTGTCAAATTTAACACAAATGCAAACGCATAAGCTATAGAACCAGGAAGCGTTTTTGGTTTTAGTTGGGTTTTTGGTTTGTTTTTGGTTTTGTGTTGTTGTTTGTGTTTGTTTTTTTTTTTTTTTTTTTTTTGGTTGGGTTTTTTTTTTTTCCAATTAACCTCCTGAGTGACAGGAAAGGAAAATGCAACTCCTCTGCTCCATGTACTCAGGCAACTAACCTGGAAAGAAAATCCTCTAGCAATTTTATTAAAGAGCCACCCTTTTGCTTAAAATATACATGTAAAGGTGACCAAAACGAAGGCTTGCAATTGAGGGATGGGGTGGAGTGGGCAAACATTCCTTTCCGGGCGTCTTGAATTCAGTTAAGAATCTAACATTTTTATTAACTTCTCATCAAAAATACCATTGAGTCGAGACCAACTCACAGCTGATCCTCCGGTGGGTTCTCAGCACAGTTACTCTCATGGGAGATGTTTGCCCGTCTTTCTCCCACAGAGCAGCTGGGCAGACATTACTAAAACCAGTACAAATCAGCGGGAGATTGGAATAGTAAGGCAGTATTCCAGGACCTGGAAATCTGAATTGAAGCACTTGTCCCTTCAAACTGACCTTGGACAAGTGGCTTAACCCATTCTCAATTTTCTCCACTGGAAAATAATAGAAATTCACACCAAACACTTAGTATTTTTGTGGAATTAAAAAACAATGATTTAACAGATGTAAAAATCACCTGGCACAAAGTAAACATTCAAAAACTGTTATTTTGTAAACATTGAAAGCTCTGCTCAATTAGGGATGTCAAAAAGTATAATGCACTATGTTATCCAATTAAGCCTCTGGCAAGTCTTTTGAGAGTGCATGTGAAGCTAAACAAAACCTATATGCCAAGAAATTATGTTTTCCGCACACACCCTATGCCATTTATTGGTCAGAGCAGATTGGTGAGGATGTATGTTTGTTTTGATGTTCTTATGGATAAATCTTTGTATCATACTTACAAGACTATAGAAATCCCTTTAGAAGAAGTAGAAAACATTTCCAAGTACCAATCTATTGTGTCTGTTTCTGAAAGAGGGATTTCAAAGGAACTATATTAATGCTTTCTCTTCTTAAAAAACTATAGAGTGAGGCCATGGATTTTATTCTCTGTAGCTTGTATGTTGTTGTTGTTGTTAAGTGCCTTCAAGTCACAGGCGACTCATAGTGACCCTATGAAGGACAGTCCACAACGCCTGGGTGTCTCTCATCCTCTCTCCAGGTTCATAGGGTTTCCGGAGGCAAGCTATTATGGAAGTAGCTTGTATACTGAAGGTAAAATAGTATTCACACACTTAAAGGTCAAAGATAATACAGAGCTAATGAACTTTACAGAAACACATGCAAGAAAATGTTGCATCTTTTGCCAAAATACTTGAGAATAGTAAAATCTTCAACCCTTACCGGAAGGTGGGTCCATTCTGTATTTATTCTCTTGACACCAACCAACTGGTCGAAGTCTGTAATCCAAGTAAAACAACCACTGGTCATAGGATTCAGTGTCCTCCAATCCCACATAGCGAAGGCGTAATCTTCCTCCAACATTTTCAATCACACTAACTATCCAGTACTGAAAAGGGTTCTGAGAATCCTGAAGTTCTATTAAGGAATCAACTGTAATGAGGTCTATAGGGCCTTTCCCTCGCAGAGGCTGTTTGAACAGAAGCAAAACTCCTTATTTTTAACTTTATTTTAAGGTTCTCATGGAAACAGATGACAGCAGAAGATAATATTTTTTCACACTATCATCCAAGCTATTGGCAAACAGTCTGGTGTTTCCCTCCACCCCCATCCTTTTAACAGCCATTACCCCCCTCCCTTTCCTTCCACCCACACACACTTCCATTTATCCCAATTCTCTAACCAACAACAAAAATCACACGTAAATAGAAAATAACAGTTTGTGCTAATTTCACCAAACAACCATGCTTTCCCAGATAAAATTGCATTTGTCAGAAATTAGTATGTTTTTCAAGAGCTCTACCCACATTTCCCTGGGGCTAGAAAACATGTAGTGGCAAAATGTCTACTTTCCCAAAAGTTCTAAAATGGGGCTATATAATTATACCACAATTCTGATTCTTCAACAGTGAAGATGGCCACTACTCAAAGAACCAAGGCGCTCTCATACTCTGATTATGTGAGTAGAGCACACAAATGTGGAGTTTAAATGTCCAAAATACATTTATAATCTGCTAAATTATGCAATTATGTAAATATATTTCTACACTTATGCTGATGGTTAGGAGGCTAAAAGAATATATAATTACTGCCCCATCTAAGAAATCTTTTAGCATATGTTAGCATATGAAAAAGGCTGTTTGTGAAACCACTCTTGAAGGCAAACATGTTAAATAATTTAAACAATATTTCTATATATAAGAAAGAACAATCTTTTTTTTTGTTAAGCAAATCATAAACATAGTAGCTATTAAGATGCACTACACAAATATAGCAGGTAAAACTTTCATAAGACTAAACCCAGTTAACAGTGGTACTACTCCCAAGTACACATGTACTCATGAAAGAAGGAAAGATTAAATCTCAGAGACATACTCAAAACTCTTGCTGTAGTATTCGTGATTCAGTTTTGAGGTTTATTCCCCCTTTTTTCAGGGACTTTTTAAAAACAGACTGTGCAATTGAATAATTTTTTTCTGACAGAAAATTTCTTTTCTGGTTTAAAACATATATTAAATACAAAACTTTTTGCCATATAATTATTTTGAAATGAATTATCATGATTTCAGGATTAACAATTTTTTATTTTAAAACCATAGAATTCACTTAAACACAGTTAACCATGACTAGTCATTTCTCCTCTAGTTTGTTTTTCAAAAGTAACTTAACTCAATTAATAGATTTTTAAATGCTCAAGAGTTTTGGAGGCTAAGTGACAAGAAGTTGTGCTGCGAAACCAAAGGTCCTTAGTTCAAATCCACACCTGCTCCACAGGTGAAAGATGGGTCATTTCCTCTCATGTAATTTATTGCCTCTAAAAACCCATTAGAGTGTCAATTATTTAAGAGTCAGCTGTGACTTGATGGTACACTATAATGACAGAAGTGCTCAAATCAGAAGTGGTGTATTCAACGAAACGATTTTTCCTAGTAACTCTAATAGAGCACTTATAGACTTAGTTGTCATTGGCATATACAATTATTTTTCAGGAGTTTATTTAGATTGACTAACACAGGACCAAGGCTTATATTTTAACAATACTGGAGAAATACGTAACAGATTAAAATACATTCACACGAAAATAAGTTTCTCATTTACTGTTTCTGCCACAGATAAACATCCTTCAGTTAAGGTAAAATCAAGAAATGCAAGTAATTTAGGAAAGAATAGGTAATTAAGCTGCTTGGATATATGCATATGTGCATGTTATCTGCAGAAGGATATATGCAAAAATTCCTCTAGGTTTCAGCGCATTTAATTGTGCTGGTTCAGACATATATAGCTGTATAACAGTAATACATACACCTTCCAGCAAGTTGGCGGGCGCTGTCCGAGAACCAGTCAAATCCCGTATGAGAAATTCTGTCCAGTCTGTGTACTTCTCTTTAATTGCTGGTAAAACAAAAGACAAACAACACAATTTAAGGCAATATATATAAGCTAATATATTTAAAATCACAGCACTTTTCCAGATGTATATGCTATTCCACCTAGTTTTCTTCTTTCACTTCTAAAGCAAGTCAGTCCTGAGGTGAGGAATCATTGTCAACAAGTAGTGATTTAGCCTCTACCATGTACTTTATTTTTTACATGGGCCTCAAAGAAACTAAGAAAACAATACGGCCTATTGGGGAAGTTACTTCTTAAGATCAGTAATTACAACAAAAAACATATCTGTTATAAAGTATATAATTGAGGAGGTTCCAGGAAGAAAGATATCACTAAGGACTAGGAAAACTAGGGGATGTTTTATATGCAGAAAAACAAAGCCAGATCCTGAATGAAATAAAAAGTTTACACAGGTGGAAAGATGAAAAAGGAATTTTGTGACAGGGCTGAGGAACAGCATATTATGAAAGCTATGCAGTGGGAGAGAAAAACAGAACAGTCATCAGCCAGACTGAAGGACGCAGAGGTGAGCTGCGGAACCCTGGGGAGTAACGCCAAGTTGAAGGGATACATACAACTGCAGACTGGCCAGAAAGTCAACATGGAACCGGAGTAAGCAGGAAATTCCTGCAAGAAGCTGATCAGGCAGTGTGAGAAAAATCTGAATGGAAAGGAGTGTCTAACATCAGAGAAACCAAATAAGCAGTTTATACAGTAAATGAAGTGCAACCTGCCAGGGCTCACAGCAGGGATGATGGTACCATGAGTAACAAAGAAGTGCACCTGACACAACTCTGAGGGTGGGGGAACGCATGAGACCTTGAAAGTCAACATTCTGCAAGTGCTTAGAACCCAAAATCTGAGAGCAAAGTGACTAATTGTGCCCATCATTCTAGTTTCAGATCTCCAAGGGTTTCACGAGGTTACGTCATTATCCCACAGAGGCCTCTGGCTTCTGAGATTATCACTGGATTTGCAAAATCAGCAAAAATAAAAGCAGTGTGTGTCCCACTAAATGCCCATCAGCCCACACCTTCACATCATATAGAAGCACTAGCACGAAGGTGAGTACCCCTAGAAAACATCTCAAACTGTACTCTTTGTTCAAGATGTAAGACTCAAGTGAATTGTAGATTAAATGTTTCAGATGCAATAGTGCAAGTATTTCTGGCTTAGAATCCCCATGGGGTTATTACAAGTTTTAACAAGGCCACCATGCTTTGGCAGGGGAAATCTAGTTAAGAGTGAGGCAGATTTGAGTTCCATGGTGGATTTTACTACCATTGACTATATGTCTGAGTAATTTACTCAATTTCTCTTGCACATTGGTCCCTTACAGAAAAATGATGCTAACATTTCCCCTATAAGGACTAAAGAAAAATAATATCATAGCAAACATTTAAGAGCTAAGTAATTAGCAGTTAAGAAATCAAAAGATATACTGAATCAGGACAATCTGTTGCCAAGAACCTCTCTAAAGTGTTAAAGAGCACTGTTGATGTTGTGAGGCATTGTGGAGCTGAGTATGACCCATGGTGACACCATGAACAGCCAACCTGAACCCTGTCCTATCCAATGCCATCTTCATCTCCAACACAACCAAGCCCATTGCTGCAGTGACTGTGTCAACCCATATCGTTGAGTGTCTTCTTCTGCATTGTTGACCCTCCATCTTTCCAAGAATTATGTCCCTTTCCAAAGAACAGCCTCGTTAGCCACATGTCCAACATATGAAGAAAGAATCTTCACTATCCTTGCTGCCAAGGAGCACTCTAGCTGCACCTTCTCTAAGGCATACATATTTGTTCTTTTGGCAGTCCTTGGGTTATCTGGTACTTTTATCGAGAACCACAACCCAAAGGCATCAATTATTCTGTTATTCTTATTCCTTGTCTAGCTCTCTGCTACATAGCTAGTCACTGAGAAGATCATGGCCTGAATCTGGTACACCTTAATTTTCAGAATGATATCACTGCTCTTCAGCATGTTGACATGGTCCCTGAAAGCAGACTTGCCTAATGCAATGTCTCCTGATATCCTGACTGCTGGTAACAAGGACGTTGATTGTGGCTCCAAGTAAGATGAAATCACTGACAGCTTCAATTCTTTCCGTCCATCATAATTAACTATGGGTCCTGTGGCAGGACCTTTTCCCCCCTCCTATCGAGATATAATCCAAATTGAAGAGCTCAGATGACAGTTTAAAAGACTAAAGTTCAGCTGATTGAAGCCATAGCATTTTCAATTCCTCCATATGCACCTGAAATTTAGACAATGAATAAGAAAGGGGGGGGTGGGGGAAAGAACTGATGCCTTTGAATTGGGGTGTTGCTGACAAGTGGGACCACCAAAAAGGAAACAAATTTGTCCTGGGGAAATGAAACCAGGGTGCTCTTTAGAGGTAAGGATGGTAAAACTTCTCTGAAACTTTGGGTATATTATCAGAAAGGGTTAGTCCTTAGAAAAGACATAGTGCTGGCAAAGGCAGAAGATCAGCAAAAGAGAGGAAGATCCTGAATAAGATACTTGGCAAGGTGACTGTAAAAACAGGCTTCAGCACGGCAGGCATCATGAGGATGGTGCCGGAGAATGCAAGGTTTCTATCTAGTGTTCCTTTGGGTCTCTGAGTCACAGTGGACTTGAAGGCATCTAACAACAAGTAATAAGCTGGTTTGAATATAAACGCAGCTACGTGGGAGAAAGATGAGCAGTCTCCTCCCATGTGATTTCTGAAAATCCATGGAGGGTCAGTTTATGGTCAGTTTTGAGTCAACAGGAATGGGTTTGAGATTGAAGTAATTAATATAGAAAGTCAGCCATGGAAATTCTTACAAAATGCCAGACAGAAATTTCTGACAAACTTTGGCCAACCAGCCATGCCAACTGTTAGGTCGATAATTAAACCAAAAAGGAATCAGTATGCTCTATACCCCTCCCATGGATCATTCTAAAAGGAACAAAGAAAAAGCAAGAACAGAAATCAGGCAAATAAGACTGGAACTCTACACTTTCAAGAAAATTTGAAATAATGTTCTAACTCCTACTTTACTATTACAAGGAGTAACTTATACCATTCATTATCTTTTACTACTAATTTCTTTTTTCAAATAAAATATCTATTTCTTTATTTCATGTACAGACGCATACTGAAACATGAATTTATAACAAAAACTATGTTCTTTTCCATTATTAGCAAAAATTTTTAATTATGTCAACCATTCTTAAATTGGCCATATCATGCCTACAATGATTGAGAATTAAAGGGAGCCTTTCTCCTACAATCTAATGACTCTCCAAGGCTTTTACATATGGATAATCAATAATTTAAATGGTAGGTAAATAACTGTCTAAACAAAGGCTTAGGGGATGGGAAAAAGTGTCTCTACCATATTTCCTAATAAATTTCAGCATTACAAAAGAAAACAGCACACTCAAATGATTGATGGCCCTATGCTGAACAGAATCGAGCACATGCCCTGAGCAGAAAGTTCATCTTGCCCTTGACACCTTTTTCTGAACATGCATACAATCTAAGACAACTTTTAAATAAACTTTCTAAAAATATTATGGCACTCTATGAACATCTCTTTGTCTTAAACTTAAATTTAAATTGTCTAAATCACAACTGAATATACCATGGACTGCCAAGAAAACAATCAAATTCATCCTGGAAAGGGTTAAACCAGGCGGCTTCTTGGAGGTAAAGATTCTGGGGCTTCGTCTGACATACTTTGGACATGCTATAAGGAGGGACAGGTCCTTGGAGAGAGACATCATGCTTGGGAGGGTGGAGGGACAGTGCATGAGAGGAAGGCCCTCTATGAGGTAGATTGATTTAGTGACTGGGGTAATCAGGATGGGTGTGTCACTGGCAGTGCAATTGGCATTGGATAGAGCAGGATAAGTTTAGAGCTGTTGTACATAGGGTTGCTATGAGTTGCAAGCAACTTGACGGCACATAACAACAACAACAACAACAAATCACAACCAAAGAACCTGGAGGTTGGCTTACAGATTTACACCTTGTAAGCGCTAAATTCCAAAGTTTTTCTATTTTTCCATTAATATAGTTTTATACAGGTTTTCATTTCAATGTATATATGTCACAAAAAAACCATACAAATTGTTCTCTATGGAAAAATCTATCTTATTAAATTTAACTGGGGGGGGAAGATAACCCACAATTTCAGGCTGTGAAAAGTTTACCCACTGTTTAGATGGCCATGTTGTTGGTTTTGTTATGTACCAGCGAGTCAGAACTGCCCGCAGCGGACCCTCCAGGAGGCTTTCAGAGGCAGTAATTGCAAGAGAGGAGAATGTCCATCCTTCTCTTTCAGAGCAGTTGATAGATTTGAACCACGTGCCTTTGGGGATTGCAGTACAGATTTTTACACAAGGAAAATTCTAGAGTCCTTTACATCTATAAAAATATAGTATGTTTTCAAATCAAGATTTATTGGAAACCTTTCAATAACTATGTTTTACATGCTCTGGTGGCCTAATGGGTGAGAAGTTGCATTGTCTGCCCAAAGGAAGGGAGTTTGCTCCATGAGAGAAAGATGCCCTGCAGGGTCAGCTACAAATCAGTTAGGATTCCATGACAATGAGGTTTTATTTGTGGCTCTTTTAAGAATTCCAAGACAATATTATGTAAACAGCCAAGTATACATACACTTTGAAAAAATCCGAGTTGTATTTCAATGATGTTCCATTTGGGAGAGGAACCCACATCACATAGAAGAAAGGAATCACTAGGAAGTGTTTCAGAGAGAAAAAGACGCATAAATATATTTTATAAGTGCATTTAAAGATTTCCCTAAAGTCTCACAAATGCTTTATGAGGATTAGAATGCCATTTGTACAAAGAGTCTGGAATAAAAGGCAGAATAGAACGACCATTTACACACACGCACAATTTGGGAAAACAGCAACAAAGCTGGACTTTAACCCCCTTGGAGCACATGTAAACCTAATGGCCCAATAATCTATCACTCCTGCAAGAT